AGATGTTAACAACTACAGACCTATATCAATCCTGCCAAACTTGTCAAAAATTTTTGAAAAACTAATCTATAAGCAGCTTTACTCATATCTAGCCAAACTCAATATACTTAGCCCTTGCCAATATGGCTTCAGGCCCAAAAAAAGCACTAACGATGCACTTATTAGTATGCTTAACTCGATTCATACAGCTCTTGATAAAAATGAGTTCCCTGTTGGGTTATTTGTGGACCTGCGCAAAGCTTTCGATACTGTCAACCACCAAAACCTTCTTCTTAAATTACATCATTATGGTGTCAGAGGACACTCCCTACAATACCTCAAATCCTACCTTACTGACAGGCTCCAATGTGTTTCTGTGAATAATACAATTTCTCCCACCCTACCCATCAACATTGGTGTTCCCCAGAGCAGCATACTTGGCCCTCTCCTCTTTCTCATCTACATTAATGACCTTCCAAATGCCTCCCAACACCTCAAACCAATTCTATTTGCTGACGACACAACCTTCATTTACTCCAGTCCTGATCCCCTTGCTCTAAATGCCACAGTAAATACTGAGCTAAATAAAGTCCATCTGTGGCTAACTGCCAACAAACTCACCCTTAACATTGACAAAACTTTCTATATTCTGTTTGGCAATAAATCCTCTAATCAAATAAATCTCAAAATAAACAATACCCAAATTTGTAACAAATTAGATGGCAAATTCCTTGGCATTCTCATTGACCACAAGCTGAATTTCCAGGGACACATTCTAAACATATAAAAAAAAGTTTCAAAAACTGTGGGCATTCTTTCTAAGATCAGATATTATGTACCACGCCCTGCCCTGGTGACTCTCTATTACTCCCTTATCTATCCATATCTCAACTATGGTATTTGTGCTTGGGGCTCTACTACCCAAAATCACTTACGTCCTCTAATTACTCAACACAAAGCTCCTATTAGGACAATATCCAATTCTGGCCCCAGACATCACTCGGTACCCCTACTCAAATCTCTGAATATGTTAGACATTAAGTCACTGCACATTCTCTCATGTGTATTATACATATATAAAACGCTAAACTATAATGCCAATCCTGATCTCAAAAGCTTCATAGAAGGTTGTAACAGAACCCATGAGCACCACACCAGAAATAAATACAGTTTTGATATTCCTAGAGTACGACTTAATCAAACCAGAAATGCTCTACAAATCAAGGGGCCCAGAATGTGGAATGACCTTCCCAACCATGTTAAAGACTGTACCTCTCTCAACCAGTTTAAGTTAAAAACGAAGCTATACCTAATAAATTCCCTGTAACCTACCTTACCCCTCTATTGTCAACCCATGTATGTTTTTTGTTTTTTTTTGTTTTTCAAATCAACGCTGTTTGAATGTAATTTTCTGTAATAATTTGTAATTGTATTTGTGCTGCTTTTTCAACAATGTTCCCCCCTCTTTTACCTCTATTTTTATTTGTACTCAACGCATTTTTTTCTTTTTACCCATTAGTTTTAAGCTTTAGTCATTAGTGTTTTTTCCTGCCCGAAACGCTTTGCGTAATAGTGGCTTTAGGCATTGTATGTACTAGCTCTATCTATAAAGCCAACAAACTTTGTAAAATCTCTTTATGTATGTACCTTTACCTAAATAAAAATTATTATTATTATTATAAGTTTCCACCTGTGTTCCCTTGTTCGTGTCCCACCCGTGCTGAGGAGTTTGTCTTTGTCCACCCAGGGAGCCGGTCGGTCGAGCGGACAGCACGCTAGACTTGTGATCCTGTGGTCCCGGGTTCGATCCCGGGCGCCGGCGAGAAACAATGTGCAGAGTTTCTTTCACCCTATGCCCCTGTTACCTAGCAGTAAAATAGGTACCTGGGTGTTAGTCAGCTGTCACGGGCTGCTTCCTGGGGGTGGAGGCCCGGTCGAGGACCGGGCCGCGGGGACACTAAAGCCCCGAAATCATCTCAAGATCTCAAGATAACCCTGTCAATGTCGCTAATGTTCACCTAGCAGTGAGTAGATACTCAAGAGTTAGTCAGGTTGTTATGGGGGTTGCATCCTGGGGGGCGGGTCTCGATATTAGTCTACCGTGTATGAATACTCTGGCTTCCTGTCCCCCCGACAATGAATTAGAATTATACCCATCCTGTGGGATGCAGTGTAGTGTACCCTACTTAATTTGTTTTCTATAACACAATGTACGATCCATTTTCTTCAATTTGCATGGAGTATACCCTATACTTGCCTAGACTATCGTGCAAGAGGAGCCACACATCTATGGATCATCCAATAAAATCAGCAGACTTCTAGATGTTACTACTGCTCGGCTTAGACTCGGTTACAAGTATCTCTGGGAATTCTCATTATCTGCCGATGTAGACCTGACCAAATGTAAACTGTGTCAACAAAATTATTCGCACACCCTCCGTCACTATGTGATGAGTGCGAAAAGATACGTGATTCAGAGACAATTCTATAACCAATGTTCCAGCGATGTGTAAATATTTCATTCAAAATGATCTGCTACCAGAAATTTTAGCCAAATATCCCCAGTTTGCTAACTGTAGGTAGTAACTAAGTGACTGTAACCTATCCACCGCTGCCCACTGGATGGGGGGGCGGTGTGCAGGACAAACATATCAATTGTGACACTAGCTCTCCACATATGTCAGTTGCTTAATTTAGAAACTGTACTTGTGGTCGATCTCGAACCCATTGTTGATGTGACGACTTATATTGAATTTTGTAACTAGCTCATCAAGATTGTAACTTGCTTAGCTAAATGAACTGTGGGGTTCAGTCCCTGAGCCCATTATGTGCCTCTGTAACCCTTTCCACTACCGCCCACAAGATGGGTATAGAGTGCATAATAAATGAACTAAACTAACTTGCCTGGATTATACCCCTATTGTCTATTTATTTATTTATGTTTTTATTATTTTTTTTTTAGATATATACAAGAGTTGTTACATTCTTGTACAGCCACTAGTACGCGTAGCGTTTCGGGCAGGTCCCTGGAATACAATCCCCTGCCGCGAAGAATCGTTTTTTCATCCAAGTACACATTTTACTGTTGCGTTAAACAGAGGCTACAGTTAAGGAATTGCGCCCAGTAAATCCTCCCCGGCCAGGATACTAACCCATGACATAGCGCTCGCGGAACGCCAGGTGAGTGTCTTACCACTACACCACGGAGACTATTTATTTATTTATATACAAGAAGGTACATTTGGGATTGTGAGGATACATAGCATAGTAATTACATTCATGTAAAGCCATTAGTACGCGCAGCGTTTCGGGCAGGTCCTTAATCTAAGAAAATTTTAAGTAGGTAAATACTAGCAAAATTTATAAAAATGATAACAGACACATAGCAAGAAAAAAATGGAACACGAGAGAAATTTGTAGGTATATTAAAGCATTTTTTTTTTTTTTTTTTTTTTTTTTTTTTTTTTTTTTTTTTTTTTTTTTTTTTTTTTTTTTTTTTTTTTTTTTCTTTTTTTTTTCTCTCATCTTTTTTTTTTTTTTTCATTCCATGTAATCTGTTATCATTTTTTTGTCTATAAATTTTGCAAGTATTTACCTCCTTAAAATTTTCTTAGATTAAGGACCTGCCCGAAACGCTGTGCGTGCTAGTGGCTTTACAAGACTGTAATTACCATAATTGTATCCTCACATTCCTTATGTACATTCTTGTATATGCATAAATAAATAAATAATAAATAAATATAGGTAGCTCAGATTGATTGCATTGACAGCTTGAATAGTAGTTTAACATATATTATAATTTGGCCCCAATTGAAATATATACAGATAATATTTCATAGAATAATTCTTATAATTTACTGAGAATTACAAAGATTTCTCAAAACAAAATTACGAGCCTTCAATAGGATGTAGCTGATCCGTGATATTGACACCACGTACGGGCTATTCATGCCCGTGCCACCTTTTGGGTGGCTTAATCTTCATCAATCAATCGTGTTTGCCCACGGGAGACATCTCCCGTCACGCAGGGTGCAGTCGCACCTCCACAGATCTTCAGTATCAGCTCTTGATACTGGTAATGGCTCAAAAGGGCCACCACTAACGGGCTATTCATGCCCGTGCCACCTTTTGGGTAGCTTAATCTTCACCAATCAATCAATCGTGATATTGAAATAGGATGGAAAATGGCACGAAAATCTCCCACCAGAAGTGGGAATGAAAAATTACAATTATTTTTAAAACTTGAGCAAACGGACTATTGTGCTGCCCACGGCGATGGAACGCGTACTGTTGGACGTACCAGGGCACGTGAGAACTGACACTAATAGTGTTGTAGTAGTAGCTACCCAATCTCCCAATCTTCATGTACCCAATCCAAACAACTTTATCATTGTGATCATTGCTGTCTTCTTATATGTGGCTTCAAGTTGCTGTATGGTGCCTATTAATAAGATTGGTAATTTAAATTACCAATCAAGCTGTCAATCAATCAGAGCTTTAATATACCTACTAATCTCTCTCATCTCATTTTTTTCTTTCTTGCAATGTATTTGTTATTATTTTATTAATTCCGCTAGAATTTACCTACTTAAAATTATCTGTTAGATTAAGGACCTGCCGGAAACGCTGCGCGTACTAGTGGCTTTACAAGAGTAAATTACTATTCTATGTATTCTCACAAACCCAATGGACCTTCTTGTATATAAATAAATAAATAGTGGATTGTTCAGTGTAATACATACCTGGTTGATGGGGTTCTGGGAGTTCTTCTACTCCCCAAGCCCGGCCCGAGGCCAGACTTGACTTGTGAGAGTTTGGTCCACCAGGCTGTTGCTTGGAGCGGCTAGACTTGGCTCTGTCATGAGGCGACACTCATACTGTACAAATCAAAATTTGGTATACAAAAAAAAAAAGAGTCAAATTCGCATCGACTATACCAGAATTTGACTAAAAACTGACAAAATATAAACGAAAATCCCATCTTTTACTCGTATATAATGGGGGAAAATGAAGACAAGTCATGGTAGGATCTGTATATCTGAGGCTTAAAGTTATAAACAAAAAATACATTTCCAGTTCACATTATTATTCGTTTACTCTTACAAATATATTGCTATTATCTGACTTGCTACATTTTAACATATTTGAATCAGATTGACCAGCAATCAGATTTCCGCTATCTGAGGAAGGTAGACCTCAAACACACTGTACTTTTCTAAAACATGCTTACAAATCATTAATGACAATTCAATAAATATCAAAGTATTACCGCCCCCCACTTAACCAGGGGTTACCTTGGTGTACACCTCACCAAGACTATGATTTTGTTAACCAGACCACACACTAGAAGGTGAAGGGACGACGACGACGTTTCAGTCCGTCCTGGACCATTCTCAAGTCGATTGTGAGAATGGTCCAGGACGGACCGAAACGTCGTCGTCCCTTCACCTAGTTTGTGGTCTGGTCAACATACTTCAGCCACGTTGTGACTCGTCGCCTGCATATGATTCTGTTGACCACCACACTATCACTGACCTACAGGACCATTTGAGGCTTGGATGATGTGCATAGATAATTGCACGTGCAAATGGGTGCGAGTGCTTAACAACTCCATAGCCATGGTTGGGAATAGTCCCAGGGCAGCAGAACGCTAGCCGCAGAATAGCAATTACTGCCTCACCACCCATTACAAACAGTGGATGCTTTGGTTTATTTCATGTTATCAACTGTTCCGTGCTCATTTGGAGTGGATTGTCAGTCATTTAGTCTTTTTTTGTGTGTGTGGCGCCCAAACTAGATATCTAACAAATCGAGGTTTTGTAAGTTCTACATTTTCATGCGGTTTCAACGGGCGATAGACGGTTTAACCCGAATGCATACGGGCGATGGGAAGAACAGTCCAGTAATAGTAGCCACTGCTTTTAGTGCATGGAATACTTAATTTGTTATAAAGATAACAGTACTAAGTTCCCAATCTTCGCAACTGCTTAGATGTGAAGTTGCCAGGATATAGGATGCATTTGATGCCTAAGATATTGATGTAGACTGGAGATTTTGGTTTGATAAATGAGTTTTCGAAATAGAACTGATATTCATCTAGTTTTTGTTTCAGTGTAATTCATAAACCTGTCTTATTATGGAAAGAATTTTGACTAAATTCCAAGTGTCCCAGAGGAATCAAATTGAGCTCACATAAGAGAAGTAGATTGAATATAATGAACTATGAAATCTACATAATTGGATACCAATATGACGCTGATAAATAATAATAAGATCAGATGAAAGACCGAGACCTTGTGGAACTTCACAGTTGACGGAGAAAGAAACAGACGCTGAGCCATTTACAAAACAAGAAAATAATAAACTTACCAGAGAAGGAAACAGGTACAATGAAAGAGAAAGTACAAACCAAAGTTGGGAAATTTGGAGGCAAGATTTGTGCTATTCTGTGGTTTGCTTTGAAAATATCAAAAGCTATTGATACTAAGGCTTGCTAATAGGAAGTGCTTTGAAAATATCAAAGGCTATTGATACTAAGGCTTGCTAATAGGAAGTGCTTTGAAAATATCAAAGGCTATTGATACTAAGGCTTGCTAATAGGAAGTGCTTTGAAAATATCAAAGGCTATTGATACTAAGGCTTGCTAATAGGAAGAGAAATATGATCCAATCCATTCCTCTATTTTGAGAAGAAACTAGATTTATAATAAATTGAGGCCACGTACATCCGACGTCAAAATAATGCATCTGGGAAAAAATGGTAATTTCAAGTCGTGTGTCATTCCTTTTTCATGATAAAAAAGGACCGAAACTACAGATTTACCAACACATAGGAACTTTAAACATGTATGTTTAATTCGACCAAAAGGAGTGATAAGAACTTTCATGTATCACATTATTCGGACAATGATCATTCGTCCTATTAAATTACAAATGTAATAGGCCTATATCATGTGAAATACATTTCTTGGGTTTTCTGATAGCGAAAACATGAATCTTCCAATAGATAAGTGGAATGCGCTGAAAGAATAAGTTGAGAACGTCACCCGATCCACAACTTTAAGGTCAGGTTTGACAAACATTTCGAACGTCAGAATAATGACATTTAGTGCAACAAAGCTAGCAGGGGGGATAAGAGCTAGACCTCTTTCCCTCGTAATCACTGATAGGTAAGCACTTATCAGGAATAGACCTGTATCAACACATGATTAAAAATAATTCATAAATAAAGGAATGTAGAATGCTATAGATGGTAAAGCATTTCATAATATAAGCATAGTACACAATTATCACAAGCGAGGGCTAGGGCCAGCATGGCTGCGAAACAATGTATGTCACAGAATATTTAAGATAGCAGTATAAGAGCAAGAAAGACCAACGACGCCAAATTGATCAGATTCACCAAGGATTGTGCGAGGGTCAGATGACTAAAGGACACTAGGAGAGCAAGATCTATCATCCTGAAAATAGGACATTTTTCGTGGAAAAGCACGACCAAGTGAAACAATGCAGTTCCGACAAGACGGGGGTTTTTGCACCATTAATTGTCCACGAGGTAAGCGTGTGGGGTCAACACGAACGCTAGCAAGAGTACTCACATTATTACCGTCATGATCGAATGTCGTCACTGATAAGCCATTTAAATAAGTTAACATGGTATCAAGATAGATTATTACAAATGCATAGCACGGGAAGCGTCCCACCAGTATAGAGAAGATCCAAGGAGGACAAGAAAAAAGGTTTTCCAAAAGAATGCAAAAGAATGAATTCCAAAAGAATTTCCATAGACGAACTACTGCGAAAGCATTTGCCAAGGATGTTTTCATTAATCAAGAACGAAAGTTAGAGGTTCGAAGGCGATCAGATACCGCCCTAGTTCTAACCATAAACGATACCCTTAGGGAGATCCCCCACAAACTGGTTACAATTATAGTCTCCTAGTGAACGTACGGGTTCGGACAAAGTATAAAAGTAGCGTAAAATCAAATATGGAAAAAAAGACTGATTAACTTTTCAAATTTAGTTTCATAAACCCCAAAAGGTGGCACCTCTTATGTTATTATAACCGGAACAAGGATAAACCTATTTATATTATATGTTACAATGCAATGTAAATAGTCAGCATCACCGTACTTTTCAAGGTGACACGCGGGGGGGGGGGGGGGGGGGGGAATTAGGCGTCACAAGCAGTCAGGGTTGACCCCAGTGCCACCATTTAAGAAATGTTGGCATCATATGTAATCCGCTGTGATGTTCATGAAGTTTGAAATGAATGTGTGTGTGTGTGTGTGTGTGTGTGTGTGTGTGTGTGTGTGTGTGTGTATACAAGTGTATACACGCTTGATCACCTTAGTGACACGAGCTTCTTGTAACAATTATCTGACGTACATGTTATAGTCTGGCAAGGACAATTGTTGATTGTTTAACACATCAGCATTTATGTAATATTAATTCATGTGTATGCGACTTGTTTCCCTTTAGAGTGCCACTGCATGCTGCCATTCATATTCATTAAACTATTCAAAGAACCAACGTGGGTTGTCGCCAGTACTGAGATGGCAGTGTTAGCCACTGACAGTACACGACAGTGTGTGCTTCCATCAGTCAGCCAGGATTACGACAGCAAATGTGTGAACGACCACATAAGCGGACATCCTCGCCCTTAACCGTCGACAATCTTCCTTTCCCAGACATAAGTACACCAAATCCTGCTGCGGCGCTGGCATTCTCTTGGGTCGTCTCTGAATGACTTGTGAAGATCCATAGCGAGGCCAGGCAGGATAATCAAATTTAGTTTCCTTTCCCTTGTTGACATAAGCCAATATATGTCAAAAATTTCATCGATTTAAAAAATAATATTTTTTTGTTTATTTCAAGTTATATGGTTAAATGCTTTTTTCATTTTTTCCAGCCGAGACTGCGCTTGACATCCTCGAGGCACTGCTTGCCGTAGGTGGGCTTGGCGAGGTCGGTGACGGCGTCGCGCACCAGGTCGTGGAGGACAGAGGGCCACGTCGACTGGTGGATGTTGAGGCGGTGGAGGGAGTCGTACGTCCACACCACCAGCTGTCGCGCCTGTCGTCCAGCGCACACCAGCGACGAACTCTCGTCCTGTCGACACAAATATTGTCAGCTGGTGAGGTTATTATAGGGATGAAGTACAACAGATAGACACATATACACACATACGTGCTCCCATAACACTTACAGATTTAAATGTGTGAACAAATCTACATGGGCCGTGATGAGGGTTCGAACCTACGTTAGGGAGGATCCCAGACGAGTCTTAATCGACTGTGCCACGACACGGTCAAGGCCGCGTCTGAGAGCCTCTCGGACGTAGGTTCGAACCCTTATCACCGCCAATGTGGATTTGTTCATTTGATGCGTCACGCTATTGTGATTTCTGTGTGTAGATTTAAATGTGTCCCCTCCCCCCCTCCCGGTAGTGTTACTTTCTGATTACTTATGCCTATTTGTACCTGTTGCTTTGGTTTGTACCTGTTGATAATACTCAAATTTTACTATAATGTACCTACTAATCTTCCTCAATTTTTCTTACAATGTACCTGTTAACACTTTTCTATTTTGCTAGAAATTGCCTACTTACAATTATTTGTTAGATTAAGGACCTGCCTGAAACGCTATGCGTGTTAGTGACTTTACAAGAATGTAAAATCATCAATGTTATGTATTCTCATAAACCCAATGTACCTTCTTATAAACAAATAAATAAATGCCTCCAAACTATACACAATGGCTATTATTCCCTCAAATTGACCTTTGCATAAGAGCTTAGGAAACACGCCATCAAGGTATCTGTAGATAAGTTGTATCAAGCCCTTATCTACAGCCCATCAAGTACCTTGAGGACGTCTCCCCTAAGCTGTCTTAGGCAAACGTCAAAGCAAAGTTTGAGGAGAATAATAATAACCATTCTCTAAACTTTGGCGACATAAGCAACCAGAAAATACCACTTACTACCAGGAACAAAACATGTGTTACATTGTGTAACTTGACTCACCACTAAATGTGTAATTAGCACACATACAGTTAATCTCTCACATACACTACCAACAATATCCTGAGCTAACCTCCGCATCTTTAATCACTAAAATGAATTTCAGACAACAGGTGTCCCAATATTTCTTAATGTGTTGTTAGAGAGTACTACAACCTGGAGCCTACTGTATTATCACTTAAATCATGGCAATGCGTCATGCACATATTCATGATTATTATTCAGCAAGATATGATCTGTATTATAAATTAGTATTTCGTAAGCTACTGTAAACAGCACTCATACGCAGGCGATGAGTTACAATAACGTGGCTAAAGTATGATGACCAGACCACACACTAGGTGAAGGGACGACGACGTTCGGTCCGTCCTGGACCAGTCTCAAGTCGTTTGTCGTCAAGTCGTCGTCCCTTCACCTTCCAGTGTGTGGTCTGGTCATCAGCACTCATGCACCACTGTAACGAGACGCCCCAACCATCACATCTGAAAATACAGTAAGTGACGACATGTCGCTCCGTCCTGGACCATTAGCACGTAGTGATACGTGACATGGGTCCAGGCCGGACCGAAACGTCATTTCAGATGTGCGTGCGTTGGTCGTCTTATGTTCAGCCAGGTTGTTGTGACTTATTGTCTGCAACATTGTAATATTGCCATATGATGGTAATTACACCCTGGGGTCTACACCTAGCACTACACTCTTTCTAAACCAAATACACAATTTCATTTTGGTTTTCGCTAAACCCAAACCATAATTAAACATACAGGCTTCCTAACACACAGTTTAGCACGCAGTTGTCTAGCATTTTAACATTCATATCACATACATCAGAACACGCAGTTAACCACACACATTAAATGCAAAATTAACAGACCATTCCACAACACACAATGATTCATGTAAGTCTCATTATATCATCTGCGTCCGCCACTCATCTCCACCACCAAGTGTAAAGTATTTACCTCGGAAATAATTTAAAAAGAACATTGTTCATATAAGTATATCTTATTCAAATATTTAAACAACATAGAGGAGCCCATCCCACTCAGCATAATTATTGTGGTGTGTTAGGCTTAAAAGTTGGGCGTCGTGCCCAACTTTTAAGCCTAAATACAATAAAAATATTTATTGACCCTAATTAATATTTATTAATGATCCTAAGCGGACGTTCAATCTTGTCTGTAGGTAACCGCACTTATGTCTAGCTTTCTTACGTACTGTATAGGACTAATGTATTATACTTCCTTAAATTTGTATGTATGTTATTAAAAGTAAAAACCCGTGTATTTATTCCTACTGCTGTTAGTATGAGTCACCCTGTACCTGGGTGTTAGTCAGCTGTCACGGGCTGCTTCCTGGGGGTGGAGGCCTGGTCGAGGACCTGGCCGCGGGGACACTAAAGCCCCAAAATCATTAAGATAACCTCAAGATAACCTCAAGAAGATGAAGGAATGTCTTAGGAAATGTGAATAAGTCCAGCTCCTATAATGCAGTCTTCTCAAATTAACTCTGGCATTTATTAGGATTCTAAAAACTATGAAACAAAAGACTGTAGAAGACCGATTGTATATGTAGACGTAGACTGTCTGAATTATTATTTAACCTATATAATACTTTTTTCTAACAAAAACAGCACCCGTCAACTGGTCTAAGTATGGGGAAATAACTATAACGATACCAGCGAAAGTCTACAAGATGACAAGAGCCTCGAACCTGGATGAAGGTCGACCAACTGGAGTATTAACGACAGACACTAAGTGCCAGCTCGGGGGGTTGGGGACCAGCAGCTAAACACGTGGACAGTAGGCCAATGGGTGAACATTCAGGCGAGAGGGCATCAGGGGGACTGGCGAATAGTAAGGATAGACAGATGGTGAATGGTAACCAGTCGAGAAGGGACGAAGGAGGTACTGTTGAAAGGTAGGGGTTAGGACAACAGGCAGATGGGTGGATGGTAGTGGGAGTCAGTAGTGTGTGGATGGTAGTGCGAGTCAGTACAGTGTGTGGATGGTAGTGGGAGTCAGTACAGTGTGTGGATGGTAGTGGGAGTCAGTACAGTGTGTGGAAGGGTGAACAATACGGAACACACCTACGGAGGACCGGAGCTTGTGTTCAATCCCGTTGAGTTTCTGTATTCTATTGAAAATGTTGGGAAAATTTCGCGACACTCCCCAATACTCAGGTCCAAATGTTTCCAGACCTATGTGATGTTAACATGTTACTAGACCTATGTGATGTTAACATGTTACTAGACCTATGTGATGTTAACATGTTACTAGACCTATGTGATGTTAACATGTTACTAGACCTATGTGATGTTAACATGTTACTAGACCTATGTGATGTTAACATGTTACTAGACCTATGTAATGTTAAAATGTTACTAGGAGCACACAAACAATAATCCTAAGCTGGCTGGTGTCCTCCACTAAGCTGGCTGGTGTCCTCCACTAAGCTGGCTGGTGTCCTCCACTAAGCTGGCTGGTGTCCTCCACTAAGCTGGCTGGTGTCCTCCACTAAGCTGGCTGGTCTCCTCCACTAAGCTGGCTGGTCTCCTCCACTAAGCTGGCTGGTCTCCTCCACTAAGCTGGCTGGCTGGTCTCCTCCACTAAGCTGGCTGGTCCTCCACTAAGCTGGCTGGTCTCCTCCACTAAGCTGGCTGGTCTCCTCCACTAAGCTGGCTGGTCTCCTCCACTAAGCTGGCTGGTCTCCTCCACTAAGCTGGCTGGTCTCCTCCACTAAGCTGGCTGGTCTCCTCCACTAAGCTGGCTGGTCTCCTCCACTAAGCTGGCTGGTCTCCTCCACTAAGCTGGCTGGTCTCCTCCACTAAGCTGGCTGGTCTCCTCCACTAAGCTGGCTGGTCTCCTCCACTAAGCTGGCTGGTCTCCTCCACTAAGCTGGCTGGTCTCCTCCACTAAGCTGGCTGGTCTCCTCCACTAAGCTGGCTGGTCTCCTCCACTAAGCTGGCTGGTCTCCTCCACTAAGCTGGCTGGTCTCCTCCACTAAGCTGGCTGGTCTCCTCCACTAAGCTGGCTGGTCTCCTCCACTAAGCTGGCTGGTCTCCTCCACTAAGCTGGCTGGTCTCCTCCACTAAGCTGGCTGGTCTCCTCCACTAAGCTGGCTGGTCTCCTCCACTAAGCTGGCTGGTCTCCTCCACTAAGCTGGCTGGTCTCCTCCCTAACTAAGCTGGCTGGTCTCCTCCACTAAGCTGGCTGGTCTCCTCCACTAAGCTGGCTGGTCTCCTCCACTAAGCTGGCTGGTCTCCTCCACTAAGCTGGCTGGTCTCCTCCACTAAGCTGGCTGGTCTCCTCCACTAAGCTGGCTGGTCTCCTCCACTAAGCTGGCTGGTCTCCTCCACTAAGCTGGCTGGTGGCCTCCACTAAGCTGGCTGGTGGCCTCCACTAAGCTGGCTGGTCTCCTCCACTAAGCTGGCTGGTCTCCTCCACTAAGCTGGCTGGTCTCCTCCACTAAGCTGGCTGGTCTCCTCCACTAAGCTGGCTGGTCTCCTCCACTAAGCTGGCTGGTCTCCTCCACTAAGCTGGCTGGTCTCCTCCACTAAGCTGGCTGGTCTCCTCCACTAAGCTGGCTGGTCTCCTCCACTAAGCTGGCTGGTCTCCTCCACTAAGCTGGCTGGTGTCCTCCACTAAGCTGGCTGGTGTCCTCCACTAAGCTGGCTGGTGTCCTCCACTAAGCTGGCTGGTGTCCTCCACTAAGCTGGCTGGTGTCCTCCACTAAGCTGGCTGGTGTCCTCCACTAAGCTGGCTGGTGTCCTCCACTAAGCTGGCTGGTGTCCTCCACTAAGCTGGCTGGTGTCCTCCACTAAGCTGGCTGGTGTCCTCCACTAAGCTGGCTGGTGTCCTCCACTAAGCTGGCTGGTGTCCTCCACTAAGCTGGCTGGTGTCCTCCACTAAGCTGGCTGGTGTCCTCCACTAAGCTGGCTGGTGTCCTCCACTAAGCTGGCTGGTGTCCTCCACTAAGCTGGCTGGTGTCCTCCACTAAGCTGGCTGGTGTCCTCCACTAAGCTGGCTGGTGTCCTCCACTAAGCTGGCTGGTGTCCTCCACTAAGCTGGCTGGTGTCCTCCACTAAGCTGGCTGGTGTCCTCCACTAAGCTGGCTGGTGTCCTCCACTAAGCTGGCTGGTGTCCTCCACTAAGCTGGCTGGCTGGTGTCCTCCACTAAGCTGGCTGGTGTCCTCCACTAAGCTGGCTGGTGTCCTCCACTAAGCTGGCTGGTGTCCTCCACTAAGCTGGCTGGTGTCCTCCACTAAGCTGGCTGGTGTCCTCCACTAAGCTGGCTGGTGTCCTCCACTAAGCTGGCTGGTGTCCTCCACTAAGCTGGCTGGTGTCCTCCACTAAGCTGGCTGGTGTCCTCCACTAAGCTGGCTGGTGTCCTCCACTAAGCTGGCTGGTGTCCTCCACTAAGCTGGCTGGTGTCCTCCACTAAGCTGGCTGGTGTCCTCCACTAAGCTGGCTGGTGTCCTCCACTAAGCTGGCTGGTGTCCTCCACTAAGCCTACTCATACTGTCATTGTTTTATTTTGTTGATTATTTGTATTCACCATTTACACATCGACATTCGCTAATATTGATTACATAAATTATCAACTTTCTAAATAGTAATGCAATTTTTTGTTAATAATTATACAAGTTATCGTTATGATTAAGAACATTAACATGATTCACACACAACAATGCCACGAACACAGACTTCAGAGACTTCATGCAGGTGACGACACAGTTCTGTGCAGGATGGTGTGAGAACACTGACGACGTGAGGGCCAACTGACGTGATACAGTATGCCAAGCAAGAGTGAGGTGAGGCTAAGATAAAACAGGTGACATGATACACGTAACACAAGATGTGCGCTGTGTGCTAGTTGCACATCACATTCGTGCAGAGTTAACTGTAAGTGCACCACGAAGTTGACAAATGCAGCTCACTGACAATTACAGTGTTATACTGCCTTACGTGACGGGGGGGTGAGAAGCATGACGGATTTTAATGGTTCGAATTAAACAGTAATTTGGCGGGAAAGGACAATTGTTTAGGGGACACATTTAGGACAAAGTTTTACATTAAGAACTTCCGACGAATGCTGTGTGGACACTAATGCAGTACGTTAATCATACGAGACCAAGATATACATATGAAATATTTTAGTAGGGAAAGTGATGAAGGCATATTGGTGGTGGTGAAGGGGGGGGGGGGGTAACAGGCGCAAGACAGGAACACATTGCGGATATATATATATATATATATATATATATATATATATATATATATATATATATATATATATATATATATATATATATATATATATATATATATATATATATATATTTCTCTATACAGATAGAGAAGATTACACGTCTCGCCGTTGTGGCCATGTATACCCCCCACTGTACACCCAGTCACTCTCGGGTATACCAGAAGAAACCGCAAAAATCGAAGTTTTTAATAAAGCAAAGTCTCTGTTGTAAACTTGCCGTTTTCCCCAGACAGGAAAATCCATGAACAAGTTAATAGCAATAAACAGCTCAACACGCGTGTAGGACCCGAATGCGGATCACGCTATTGTTACCTCATTAAATCGATTCAAAGTGACGACAAGAATGCTAAGCTGATGGCCGTTATTCCCGCAGAAGAGTTTGATGATGCTGCCTCTGTCTCTCTCACAGGTGAGAGGACAGCGTACATAACAAGCTGTCCAAAGTCACAACTCACCAAAGAGATGCTCGACAGTTGCAAAGATTCAAGCACTCTAAACATGCGAACAGGTTCAGTATGAACAACCAAATGGTCTTGCCCTCAGTGCAAAATTACGCCTTATGAACCGAAAAAAACGATAAAGTCCATTCTTCAGCCGTGTGTAATGCAAAATTTAAAGATTTATTTTGTAAACTGTAAATTGAGGAACATCCGCAAAGCAGACTGGGAGCGAGTAACGAAGGCCTGACGTTGTTGACATCAGCTCTCACTCAAGTACACGATTGTTACATATTTTGAAACGGGTTTTCTCAGCCACAGACAACAGACTGGGTAAGCTCGGGCAAATGTTTGTCGAACTGTGCGGGGCACCAGTAGTCTGAACGGACCCAAGTTGCTGTTATTGTTATAGATTCAGCCACTAGGAACAATTCTGAGTAACACAGGCTATGGTAACGGACCTAAGTAATGTCAATATTTTAAGGGTAATGGACTAGGATAACATCTTGCAGGACACAGTTATTGGGCTATACAGATAAAGATTACGTAACCGATGAAGACCAGGACGCGATGAGGTGTTAAACAGTTAGAGTCAAGATCATAAATATATTCGGATGAAAATTAATGTATCAAATTAACTGAGAAACTAATATTTTTCTTAAAAATTCCTTCTACATTATAATAGCGCAAAATTTTTTTATTTTTTAAATTGGCAAGTAAATTTTAGTAAAATGTTTACGGTGAATTCTTCGCCAAAAGAAAATGTGTGAAAAACAAAAAACAATCAGCTCCCAGAATACTTTACACTTCACTGTTCTTGTCGCATATCCACGGAAGGTTCCGAAGCCTTGAGGTAACGAACAAAACGAACCAATTGCATATTAGTAAAAATATAATACAAACGTATATTTTTAAACACCACAGGTCATACAGTTAAACATTAATATAAATTTAGAGGTTAGTGTGTTTATAAGATGCTATATAGGAGCATTTAAAGAAGCATTTTAAATGAAAGAGTATAGGGCAGTCGACCGGAGCGGCCGAGGCGGACCAATCACTCAATAATTACCTTGCGACGCTTCTGAAATGAGGGGTCAAGAATATGGAAATTGTTGGCATTAATCCATTGTTATTTTGTGTATTATTTTATGCTCGATGTAAAGGTACAGTATGTCACTGATATGACAGACACTACTCGAGAATTACTTTGTAAACTATAATACTAAATAAATTATAAAACATTATACCGAAGGGGTGAAAAATTCAATTTGCAAAACTAGAAAAAATGACTAATGCAAAATGTGACTTGCTAAAGGCAAAAATTGCCTACAGAGCAAAATTTTAGGCCTTGCAAAATATTCTAATCTTCACTTACCTTTGCTAACTGATTGATTTCCAAGTTCCTGCCATTTGTATCCTTATCCAGTTGTCACATGCCACTGTACCCCTACCCTCACTGTCACTCGACTGTATCCACCTCCTATACTGACACTCTACTGTACCCATCTCCAATTAACTGTCTCTCGACTGTACCTATATCAATAACTGTCGTTCCGATGTATCTGCAACTCCACTGTACCCTTGTTTAACTGCAGTATTACTGTAACCCCTCAAACTGTCATATACTGTACTCTTCTCCACATGCAACCCAGTACTCCCAGATTCTGGGTTGAAAGGTACCCCCCCCACGCTGTAGCCCACCACCAGCTGTCACCCGCTGTACACCCCCCTCCCACCAGCTGTCACCCCGCTGTACACCCCCCTCCCACCAGCTGTCACCCCATTTGCCTTAACATCTATGTACCAACAGCCTCTTCAGTGACTATCTTTCCCAGAGAATACAGCAGGATGCACTATGTGAAGGGCTGAGGTGCTACCCTCCCGACAAGACGCTGCTGCCCTCAAGCAAGCAGGCTAAGGATGCGACTGAATCAGTACCTGCGTGAGTCGGCCGACGGGGCGGTACTGGAGCGCCTCCTTGCCAATGAGCTCCTGAAGGTGCGGCACGTTGAGGCGTGGGGCCTCCGGCTCCTCCCTGCTGCTCCCGGGGTCGTGTCCTCCGCTCCCTGGGTCGTCGACAAATACATCAGCAAACACTTGAGTATTTCCTAGTCTCAACTAGGTTTGAAAGCGCTACATATAGCAGAAATTCATCAGCTTATTAGTCGTTCATAAGATGAGGGAAATATAATTATGACACAAAGGACGCTTTTGTGTCAAGTGCGTGACACTGGCCCCACGAGACACACAGCAGTGCATATCATATTGTTAAATTAAGGTGAGGCGTATATATATATATATATATATATATATATATATATATATATATATATATATATATATATATATATATATATATTTATATATATATTTATATATATATTTATATATATATTTATATATATATTTATATATATATTTATATATATATTTATATATATATTTATATATATATTTATATATACATTTATATATATATATATATATATATATATATATATATATATATATATATATATATATATATATATATATATATATATATATATTATATATATATATAATGTCGTACCTAATAGCCAGAACGTACTTATCAGCCTACTATTCAAGGCCCGATTTGCCTAATAAGCCAAGTTTTCATGAATTAATGTTTTTTCGACTACCTAACCTACCTAACCTAACCTAACTTTTTCTGCTACCTAACCGAACCTAACCTATGAAGATAGGTTAGGTTAGGTTAGGTAGGGTTGGTTAGGTTCGGTCATATATCTACGTTAATTTTAACTCCATTAAAAAAAATTGACCTCATACATAATGAAATGGGTAGCTTTATCATTTCGTAAGAAAAAAACTAGAGAAAACATATTAATTCATGAAAACTTGGCTTATTAGGCAAATCGGGCCCTGAATAGTAGGCTGATAAGTACGTTCTGGCTATTAGGTACGACACATTATATATATATATATATATATATATATATATATATATATATATATATATATATATATATATATATATATATATATATATATATATATATGTTTCATTTAATATGACCGCATATTCTGTATTTATTATTTTCTGGTTTAGGGCTTCTATCCCTCTAACTATTTTCTTAGCTATTTTCTTATTTTTCTTTCGTTTGAAAGAGTAACTCAGGTATTGGTGAACAACGGATATAGCAACGCGGAAATAAACGCTGCTATAAGAAGACACTTGGACCGTTGGTATAATTCAGAACCTAGAACAGAAACCACAACACCCCCAATAAAATTATATTACAAATCAATCATGCACAGTGAACATATAAAAGAGGAAAGAATAATGAAAGAAATAATCCGTAAAGGAGTAAAAAGCACTACTCCTAACCAAAACATAAACCTGATAATATTCTACAAAACCAAGAAGACTTCCGAACTCCTTATCAAAAACAGCCCGAAGCCGACGGAGAACCCTCTACAGCAGTCAAGCGTTGTATACATGTACACTTGCCCCCACGAAGGATGTATATTATATATATATAATGTTGCACGTTAACCTTTCCTTTTACATAAATAGTTCTGTTACAACTTGGTTTTCCCCCAGAGCTCGCATCTGTTGTCTTACCTTCAGAGACTCTTGTATCCAACACAAGCATCCTGGTTTTATCTGAGTTTTTTTATATTCGTAGACATTCCAACACAATTCTGTACAAAAGTTTATAGTTTGCCGAAAACGGATGGAAACTACCAGGAGAAACAGCCAAGCCATTACGACTATATTGCACACGGAAGGGTTCAGGATAAAGACTTGGGATGGGAAGGAATTGTCCCCGACTATCCAGATTCCAAACCACCTGGATGGTTGGGGATTGAACGTCGACCTGCATGAAGCGAGATCTTCATTCTATCGTCCAGCGCAAGTGATTGGTTTGCCGAAAAGTATTGTCTGTATACTTCAACATGCTTAAACTTCAACAATCACGGAAAGGACACTCACAACATTCTCGCACCCGATGTAATACTCAAGGTGCCTCTCTCTCCAAGCCACAGTCTTTTGTAAACAAAGGACGCGGAACTAGCATTATAGAAATCGAGTTAAAAGTGTTACTCGATAAATTTGGGACATGGTTTCCGGGAAAATGAAGCCTATTAGAATGCAAACCCCAGCACAAGTCTAACTCCCTGGTACCTATTTGGTGGTAGGTGAACAGATAAATCAGATACAAGAAAACGTGCTCACACAAGACAGTTGTTCAGGTCAGGATCGAACTCTGTTCCAATTTGTGGTCGCGGAATAAGGCTAGATGGAACGAGTTTGACATAAATGACAACTGACGAGAAGCCTACACTTTTCACCAGCGCTGGGTGCACATGTGAGACTACTCGAGACCACTAGCATGTAGTGTGGAAGAGATGTCGAATGCACAGGGTGTCCGTAAAGTTCGTTTTCCTATGTAGCTTTCGTGTGTCATCCGGACTGATGCCTCCCTCCCCCCCACCTCTCGAAGAAGAAACTTGAATATAATAATACTAATAATGAAAATATATTGCGATGTACCAGTTCGAGGAGAGGAGATTCCTTGGTCGTTGGCGTGGTGGTGATGGGACGAGAGGAAGGCTGCCAGTTGGTCGCGCGGGAGACAGGTGAAGGCCAGCTGGCTCAAGGGAGAGAACATGACGGCCGCCTCCGTCCGCTCCTCCTCGCTCACCTGCCCAGTAAACAATGTCAGGGAACTAATATTCCCCAGCACTTGGGATGTAGCCGGAAACCCCAGAAGCCTGCTCCCCAGAAGCCAGGACGGGTGCCTCCAGCACCAGCCAAGAACCACTCTTACAAATAATTTCATGTTGACCAAACCACACACTAGACATACACAGCCTCGCTCCTGTGCCAGGTAAGTCCACTCGGGCTCACCATAGCCAGTGCTACTTGGAACTTTTGTTCTGAGTAGCTGAATCTAAAACAACAACACACACTAGAAAGTGATGGGACGATTATTGTTGTCCCTTCACTTTCTAGTGTGTGGTTTGGTCAACATATTTCAGCCACGTTATTGTGACTCCTCGTCTGCAAATAATTTCATCGTCATGAACCAATGATTAAAACGATATATCACATAATTATAATATCTATTTAAAATTGCTTTCATAATTACTTTATCAAATGAAAATCATTGTAAATTGTAATAACCAACGCTAAGAATATTCATAATAACAATAAAATATAATACATGTTAAGATACACAGTAGCACATCCAAATTTTGAAAGCCAAATATCATGGGATAACGAAGGGTATTGTACACAAAATCTGTATTTTGCCTCTATTAAAAATAAAAGGTTGGATGGATTCGAAATACGAGAGTTCATTAATATAGTATGATGATTATCACTCGGTCTGGTCTCATGTACTCTCGTCCTTCATGTACTCCCTAACCCAGTTTAGCGTCTTCGCATTTATACCGGCCTGCTTCTCCATCTTGTACACCAGCCTTCCGTGAGGAAGTGTCAAGTGCTTTTTAAGAGTGCGTGTGTGCGCGTGTTTAAGCATCAGTCAGGGGGTCGGCAAACACGTTGGAGACAGGAACTTGCCCTGTGGCGTGCACAGGTCGTGAGCAGCCCGGTATTTTATTGATTTATATATACAAGAGTTGCTACATTCTTGTACAGCCACTAGTACGCGTAGCGTTTCGGGAAAAACGTTACCTACAAGTTACCTACAAACGAATTTGCTGTACACAATTATACTGCACAGAGAAGTGGAAGCAGGAGATTCTGCTTTCATCGTGATTAATACAAAAAATTTAAAATCATTTAAGACAATTGCACTAGAGATTACGTTCATGTCACACAACAATTATCTGCCCCAGCGGTAATAACCCGCACGCAGTTGGTGGATTCCCGTGGGTTCGTACCCCATCACCAGGAGGCGTGTTCCCACCGGCCCGGGAGACCACCACTTCGGCGGCCACTATACCCGAGAGTGGCCCTTGGTTAGACGTCGATTCGGCGTTGCTCTTGGATGCTGTGCTCACTGGCATCCCTGCTTCCCTGCAGGAATACGAGGTCTGGTTTACCTTAGTCAGGGGACACAGCCCGTTTAGCTTATCGAGACCTCCCCACAACCTGCAGCGCCAACGTCTGATCTTTCCCAGGATACAACCCACAACAGTTCCCATCTCCGGTAGTGGGCAGGTGCATCATGTGCACGTGTTTTATATATGAGTCTGTACTGTATGCTAACGAGTCTGTACTGTATGTACTGTACGAACATAAAGTTCAATGTCAGATGCCTAGGGCTAGATTCGCTTAACTTTTCAAGATGACATATGGATGGTATGTGACTGATTGGGGGTCGGCCCCATGTTAAGAAATATAAGCTCCTGCGATCTTGATGAAGTCTGAATCCGGGGATTAATTTTCCGAAAAATTTTGAGCAATTTTTCATCTTTTCGTGATATTTCTCTCTTAGAAAATGTGAGAGAGGGAATAGAGGGAGGAGAGGGGAAAGGAGACTGGGGAGAAGGGGTGATGTTGGGGAGAGAAAGGGAAGGAGAGAGGAAGTAAGTTGGAGAGGGTGAAGGAAGGGAGGGGATGAGAGGGGTAGATGGTTACGATAGAGGTCAAGTTAAGAATATTATATGTGGGATGAACTTACTAATGATAGGAGTTAGTTTTGTTTATTGAACTCGAGCTTGAAAAATATTGAACAAAATATCAGACCACAACCCGTTAATAAACTAAATTATAATTAGCTTCTCATATTACAGATTTACAGTTAGAGGTTCCAGTGCACTGTAACATACAGCTACCAATTTTACAGCAATTTTGTTTAATAACTCGATTATAACTTTAAAACCAATGAAATATTTCTTAATAAAGAAATATTAAACGCATTTTGTTTGTTTTTTAAAATGATTTCGAGACTGGGATAACTAAGTGACTAAGATGGCTAAGTCACCCAGATACCGATGTGAAGTGATTGTTTCACGATGCTCTACAGCCACTCCAGAACACAGACACGCACATGACACATTGTTGCACGCCAGAAAAAATACATTCAGTGTTTGGTGAGAGTAACTTTACCAAGCAGCAGCTATGACTGACCTCGAGGCCGTTGATCACCCTCAGCCCCCAGTGGGAGAGTCTGAAGATGGCATACAGTCTCCAGTAGGGCGTCTGCGTCAGTGGGTTGCCCTCCCGACCCACTTCCAGCGACGTCACCTGGTTTTATAGGCGAACACAATTAATGCAAAATCGTATAGAGGCAAAATCCCTCAATAATATTTGTTATATCTGAAAATTCTGTTCCTTAAAACTAACTATATATGCATTTATAAAAATTTTGTTTGATACATGTGAATGAAGGTTTTATATATATTCTAGTGTGTAAATAACATTATTTGAAACTTAGAAATTTCAAGTGATTAAGCCAATGAAATTGCAACAAGTTTGGTATAAAACTGAATGGTTTGCATACCTGGTGGAGCTCGGCTAGAGCATTAAGCTGACTACACTTGGCTAGATGAGTCTCCACGAACATAAAGTTCTCTAACCGAGGAAACTTGACCCGTAGCTTGGGAAAGATATCGACTATATCTTCAAAATTCATATACTGGAAGCGCGCCGTCGTGGCTGCCGCGGCCACTGACTTGTCCCAAGAGATGTCGGTGCAGCGGAGGGCTCCCTGCCCGTACAGACTTAACCGCTCGCCCTCTAGCTCGGCTAGAAAGTTTGGTCCCTGTTCACGAAGTATTCCTGAGGTATTCTGGTTTATTGATGGAACTGGCTTGTCTCCTTTCTCACAAGCAGGACGTTCCGGGTCTTTTGGTCTGGAGAGGGGAACCCTAAGGTCAGCCAGGTTGTGGTGAGTGGTGGCAGGTGCGGACTGCGAGTTGATCTCCGCAGACCCGGTGAGTGTGGCGGTTGTATTGGTGGTGGTGGAAGTGTTGGCAGACTCTGCGTCGGAGCTCGAGTCTACTTCAGATGGCTCAGACACGGCATTTCTGGGAGAGACTGGTGGTTCCGGACCCTGAATAGGAAGACTAAGGTTCGATCTGACTCGTGTGATAGCGGCAGTCACTATTTTGTCGGGGAGACGGCCTGCCTCTTTTAACTGTTCCGTTTTCTTTAAAAAATCTAAATTTTTGGCATTTGCGGATTTCACATTCTCGTTGGCTATAATTCGAGGCCTGGACTTGTCTACCGCACGGTTTTGAGCACTTCCCTGTCTGGTTCCTCCTCGACGGACTACAGGCACGTTCTTGACAGGTATCGTGGCCCGCGAGGCTGTGTCCAAACTGATCTTCTCACTCACCTTTCCCGACCCTCCCAAACCTTCACTGTTCGAATCACGAACCGATTTCGGTCTCAAAGTACGATCACCCTCAAAAGAATTTTTTCTCCTTAATATTCTCATATCCGTGTACGATTTACTACGAGGAAAATTATTTTTATTATCTACATTTCTCGGACTATTCATTTTGAATTGTTTTATTGCCTGTATCGAGTTATTGACGGCATTCACTGTAACATTCTCTTGCGCGGGAAGGACATCGGTGGCACTGAGTCTTTGATCAGTACCTTTGTGAACTAAACTGATGTCAGAGATACCACTGGATGTGACGGAAGAGACCAGAGATGCCCGGTCGTCTTCCTGCTGCCCGGGTGCTGCCTCCTCTTCGTCAACCTTCCCTTCTTCACCGTTCTCGTCGGTCACCGTCACCTCCAGCTCCCCAGCATCAGACACGGTGTCACCACAAAACCCACTAGACAGTTCGGTAGCATCGCTGTCCTTAGAGGGAGGCTGATCCAGGGTACCTGTACGAGAATAATTGTTACGGAGTCTTAAGGGTGAGCGTTTGCCCTGATAACCAAGACACGATCATGGATACTTCAAAACTCCAATAGAGAAAAAAATCTTTTAAATGAGTTTCACTAAGAAAATGTAATTATAACATTTTAAGGTTAGTGGTTCATAATACCACTGGTGCACAGTTCGTGTCATGATATATTAACAAAATGATAGGAGACGCTACAGCGTGGGGTTATATGGAAAAATAAATGTTAACCAGAAAATACAAAATGAGGAGTCAGCAAATTTTGTAGAGGAACTTTGTATGTGTTAAGACAAATGGCAAAGAGCTTCACTCACTGGTGGAGCTCTCGCTGGGCTTCCTGATGAGCTTCTTGTGGTCCTTCTTCACCACCTGCCAGTGCTTCATGGCGTTGGTGATAGCAGAGTTACGCTTCTCCTCGTCACTGATGCGCGTCGCCTGGGCACGCTCCTTATCTCTCGCCTTCTGCAGCTGCTTCTCAGACTGTCTCCGAGTCTCCATGGTCAGCTCCTGGTCATCCAGCCTGACGCAATCACAAAGGCTGAACATGGCACACATGGTGAACTATGTAGCACACAAGAGTCACCACCTCACTAGTGATTACATTACGCCCGGTACTTCATGGTCCAGTAACTAAAGATATATATATTTTTTTACACGGAAGGGTACAGATAATTTCTGACTAGTCAGCTTAGAACTCTTCCGACCAAAAAAAGCCAATCTTTAGCCTTGAGTTATTATTTTACCTAGAATAATATTAGCTAATTGCTATACAAACCAGGACACAATATTAAAAGGAGAGAACGAACAGAAAAGATAATCACGACATTAATGACACTGAAGGAACAGAGAATGTTAAGAAGGACAGTTTCTTATCAAGTGAGAGAGCGAGACAAGAGAACACAGGAGAAAACTGGAAATTAGTCAAAGATATGTAAAGACATCCGTATACCTTGTATATATAGAACTGGATCTTCTCCTTAGCCTTATTAAATTTTTCAGGGTTAAAGGTGACTTTATGGAGAATGTCATAGCGAGTCGGGGTGGGCCTCCAAACCCCTCTTGAAGGTGAGCGGCTCCTATAGCCCACTTCACGAAGTCGGAGGATATGAAATGTGGTTCTCAAAGTCCGCAGAGTTCAGCATTCGTTTAAATATTACTATTTTCATATCTTGACTTGTAAAATATATGTTTAAATAGATTTACAGACTGGTTACAACTTTTTGTTACAGTGATGGAGGAGACAGGGAAGGTAAGTAGAGATGATGACAGGAGGGTGTGAAGATGTTCAGTAATGAAGAGAATGTGTAATGAAGATTGTTACAGCAATGGGGAAAACCTGGGGGGGGGGGGGGGAAGAGTAAAGATATTTATATCTTTAAATAAAAAAAATACGTATTTATTTATTTAATTAATGATGGTGGCACCCCAGGCGTGGCAGGGTAGCGTGAGGCAAGCAGTGGAGGCTTCACGAGTGTGTATTGGTCAACATTAACACCAGCGTGAGGTCGTGCGGCTGTCGTTCACCTCGCGTGTCGCCCATCCGGATGAGATGTAAAAACGTTCACACATAAATAACTCTGCAGGTGTTAAGACTGCGGTTGTGTAATCACCGCAGTATTAGCCGCTCAGCTGTCGCAGTACCAACATACACCAAGCAAACAACTTGTCTTGATTTTGTATGAAAAGTGGAGAGTTGAGAGGCGTCCAGCGAGCCGCCTGGCCGGCCCATCCTCCCCTCCCCTCCCGCCTGGCCGGCCCATCCTCCCCTCCCCTCCCGCCTGGCCGGCCCATCCTCCCCTCCCCTCCCGCCTGGCCGGCCCATCCTCCCCTCCCCTCCCGCCTGGCCGGCCCATCCTCCCCTCCCCTCCCGCCTGGCCGGCCCATCCTCCCCTCCCCTCCCGCCTGGCCGGCCCATCCTCCCCTCCCCTCCCGCCGGGCCGGCCCATCCTCCCCTCCCCTCCCGCCGGGCCGGCCCATCCTCCCCTCCCGCCGAACCGGCCCATCCTCCCCTCCCACCGGGCCGGCCCATCCTCCCCTCCCGCCGGGCCGGCCCATCCTCCCCTCCCGCCGGGCCGGCCCATCCTCCCCTCCCGCCGGGCCGGCCCATCCTCCCCTCCCGCCGGGCCGGCCCATCCTCCCCTCCCACCGGGCCGGCCCATCCTCCCGCCTTACTCTTTACCAGTTTACTCCTGGTCGCCCCTCTCCCCTGTTTCAATTATGGATGACCTTGTGTTTCTCTTCCCCCTCGTTGTTCACTGTCCTGCCGCTCCTCTCCTGCACTCTCCCTCTCTCTCTTTTCCTTATTATATTATTCCTTTATATTATCTAGATTTTTTGGCTGAATTAAATTTTTGTGTTTTATCTTCCACAGCCTTCTGCACCGAGTCGTACACCCCTACCACCTTCCCCCAGGGGTCAGTCACCCCTACCACCTTTCCCCAGGGGTCAGTCACCCCTACCACCTTTCCCCAGAGGTCAGTCACCCCTACCACCTTTCCCCAGGGGTCAGTCACCCCTACCACCTTTCCCCAGGGGTCAGTCACCCCTACCACCTTTCCCCAGGGGTCAGTCACCCCTACCACCTTCCCCCAGGGGTCAGTCACCCCTACCACCTTTCCCCAGGGGTCAGTCACCCCTACCACCTTTCCCCAGGGGTCAGTCACCCCTACCACCTTTCCCCAGAGGTCAGTCACCCCTACCACCTTTCCCCAGGGGTCAGTCACCCCTATCACCTTTCCCCAGGGGTCAGTCACCCCTACCACCTTTCCCCAGGGGTCAGTCACCCTACCACCTTTCCCCAGGGGTCAGTCACCCTACCACCTTTCCCCAGAGGTCAGTCACCCCTACCACCTTTCCCCAGAGGTCAGTCACCCCTACCACCTTTCCCCAGAGGTCAGTCACCCCTACCACCTTTCCCCAGAGGTCAGTCATCCCTACCACCTTTCCCCAGAGGTCAGTCACCCCTACCACCTTTCCCCAGAGGTCAGTCATCCCTACCACCTTTCCCCAGAGGTCAGTCATCCCTACCACCTTTCCCCTAAGACTCGTGCACCACCACCTGACCTCAGGTACGGCCTCATCCTGCCCGCCCTCAGCCACTCAATAATGAGGCTGCAGCTCCCTCCACCCTTGAACCAGTGATTACTTCTTCCTTTTCCTCCTGCATCACGATCACGCCTTTTTCCCGCCTTCCCTTCCCCCCTGGACGCCAATATGCAATTCCTGTTGTCTTCTTCCCCGTCCTCCTACGATCTCTCTCCCTACCAGTTATCGTTCACAAGGGCGGCAGTACGTGAACAGTTACGTAATAATATATCCCATATGATGGTCCCGGCCTCATTTTCAGGGATGCCGGAGGGAATATATACTGTTTGGCGAGATATGTCTAAACCAGTCCGGTCTATAGGACAAGCTGACTATTAACTCTGGCCCCCTGAGGTTAGGTTTGTAATTATACATCTGTCAGCGAGGAAGAAATACTCAATCATTAGGTGTGATAGGGAGTAATACGGTGAGAATATCGGTTTGCTGCTGTATAATGTCGCGCTCAGATAGCGAGGTTTGTACCCTCTATGCCCCATTCTCTTTTATAACTATTTCTATACTTTTCCCCATCTCTTACACATTATCTGCTAATTTTTATCATTCGTTACGCCCCCTCCAGCACTTCATGCTTCGGGCATTACTCTCTCTCTATCCTCTCACTTCCCTCTCTCTCTCTACCCTCTCACCCCCCCTCCCGTTTCTCTCTACCCAAGATTCCCACGGCCAGCATGTGGAAGGCATATACCTCTTGAGGCGGTAGAACCTGGTGACAGCGTGGTGGAAGTAGTGAGGCTGGCGGCTGACGGGGTTCTCCTCCAGCGACAACTCCCTCAGCTTCAGGCAGTTCTGCAGGCAGGCGATGTCCTCGTATCTGCAGGGGCAGGGAGGCTGATCTATAATATCTGCAAGGCAGGGAGGCTGATCTATAATATCTGCAGGGGCAGGGAGGCTGATCTATAATATCTGCAGGGGCAGGGAGGCTGTTCTATAATATCTGCAGGGGCAGGGAGGCTGATCTATAATATCTCCAGGGGGCAGGGAGGCTGATCTATAATATCTGCAGGGGCAGGGAGGCTGATCTATAATATCTCCAGGGGGCAGGGAGGCTGATCTATAATATCTCTAGGGGGCAGGGAGGCTGATCTATAATATCTCCAGGGGGCAGGGAGGCTGATCTATAATATCTCCAGGGGGCAGGGAGGCTGATCTATAATATCTGCAGGGGCAGGGAGGCTGATCTATAATATCTGCAGGGGCAGGGAGGCTGATGTATAATATCTGCAGGGGCAGGGAGGCTGATGTATAATATCTGCAGGGGCAGGGAGGCTGATGTATAATATCTGCAGGGGCAGGGAGGCTGATCTATAATATCTGCAGGGGCAGGGAGGCTGATCTATAATATCTCCAGGGGGCAGGGAGGCTGATCTATAATATCTCCAGGGGGCAGGGAGGCTGATCTATAATATCTGCAGGGCAGGGAGACTGATCTATAATATCTGCAGGGCAGGGAGGCTGATCTATAATATCTCCAGGGGCAGGGAGGCTGATCTATAATATCTGCAGGGCAGGGAGACTGATCTATAATATCTGCAGGGCAGGGAGGCTGATCTATAATATCTCCAGGGGCAGGGAGGCTGATCTATAATATCTGCAGGGCAGGGAGGCTGATCTATAATATCTCCAGGGGCAGGAAGGCTGATCTATAATATCTGCAGGGATGGGAGGCTTATCTATAATATCTCCAGGGGCAGGGAGGCTGATCTATAATATCTCCAGGGCAGGGAGGCTGATCTATAATATCTGCAGGGCAGGGAAACTGATCTATAATATCTGCAGGGCAGGGAGGCTGATCTATAATATCTCCAGGGGGCAGGGAGGCTGATCTATAATATCTCCAGGGGGCAGGGAGGCTGATCTATAATATCTCCAGGGGGCAGGGAGGCTGATCTATAATATCTCCAGGGGCAGGGAGGCTGATCTATAATATCTGCAGGGCAGGGAGACTGATCTATAATATCTGCAGGGCAGAGAGACATCTATAATATCTGCAGGGCAGGGAGGCTGATCTATGATATCTCCAGGGCAGGGAGGCTGATCTATAATATCTCCAGGGCAGGGAGGCTGATCTATAATATCTGCAGGGCAGGGAGGCTGATCTATAATATCTCTAGGGCAGGGAGGCTGATCTATAATATCTGCAGGGCAGGGAGGCTGATCTATAATATCTCCAGGGGCAGGGAGGCTGATCTATAATATCTGCAGGGCAGGGAGGCTGATCTATAATATCTCCAGGGCAGGGAGGCTGATCTATAATATCTGCAGGGGCAGGGAGGCTGATCTATAATATCTGCAGGGGGCAGGGAGGCTGATCTATAATATCTCCAGGGGCAGGGAGGCTGATCTATAATATCTGCAGGGCAGGGAGGCTGATCTATAATATCTCCAGGGGCAGGGAGGCTGATCTATAATATCTCCAGGGCAGGGAGGCTGATCTATAATATCTGCAGGGCAGGGAAACTGATCTATAATATCTGCAGGGCAGGGAGGCTGATCTATAATATCTCCAGGGGGCAGGGAGGCTGATCTATAATATCTCCAGGGGGCAGGGAGGCTGATCTATAATATCTGCAGGGGGCAGGGAGGCTGATCTATAATATCTGCAGGGGCAGGGAGGCTGATCTATAATATCTGCAGGGCAAAAGTGTTCACGATACTACTAGTCAAGTCATTAGTATCTGGAACACTAGCATTTGTTTCTCTGTCACATCCTGCAAACTCCCCTCCCCCCCCCGCCACCTGTGTACCCAAGTTCCACATCTGGCTAACTCCCACCCGAGTTAGCTGAGCCTAACCCCACACACACCTGACTAGCTCCCACTTGTAAGTGTACCCACTGCCACACCTGGCTAACTCCCACCTGTATATTTCGTTGTAGCCCATGAAGACCTTCTCGAGGCGCGGCAGGTAGTGGAGGTCGGCGACGGTGCGGATCAGGTTCCTGCGGAGGTTGAGCTCCACCAAGCAGTCGAGGCCCCGGAGGCCGGTCACGTGCCGTAGCATGTTGCCGGCCAGGTTCAGCAGCCGCAGCTCCTGCAGAGGTCAACACTTGGGGTTATTATTGCCTGGGGTCAACACAGCGGCAGCTGCGTACTGCGGTCACCACAACCACCGCATAATACATCACCTGTGCGTCGCGGTTAATACACAGTTCCGCAGTAGACGGGTTATGGAGGTCAAACGTCAAAGTTTATGAATACAACGTTGTATAGTACAATTCTCAACGTATATATAGCTAGTAATCTAATGATAGATTGTCAAGTAGTGACACGATAGAGTGGAGTGGAATGACATGACAGGCGAGGGTGGGTGGGTTGGGGGGGGGGGGGGTGATATAGCGTGGAATAATATATTATAAACGTTACAATAATGTGTGGAAGATTGGCTGCGATTAGAAACACGTGTTTTAATTTTTTTGACTTTTGCCTAGCTGCCCGAGAGGAAGCAGCTAGGTTGCCTAGCTGCCTGTGAAGAAGCAGCTAGGTTGCCTAGCTGCCCGCGAGGAAGCAGCTAGGTTGCCTAGCTGCCTGAGAAGGACAGGCCTACTCTCCCCCAACATAGGCAGTGCATATCGTTAAGAAGCGAGACTCGCTCATTAGCATGTAATTACTCCACTACCAGATGTGACGCCCTAACACAGCCTGGAGAAACACGCCTCTGATACCTTCGTAAAAAAAGTGAAATTTAATAGAAAAACGCGATTCAGAATCCGGACTCCACAGCGTCTAAATAAAGAAATAATGAATGCATTGTTACAATACGTTGCGAGTAGTGATTACCCCCGCCCCCCACACCTGTCCCAGCCTCGACCCTCCCTCCCCCCCCGGGTGGGGCGCCCGCCCCCCACACCTGTCCCAGCCTCGACCCTTCCTCCCCCGGGTGGGGCGCCCGCCCCCCACACCTGTCCCGGCCTCGACCCTCCCTCCCCCCGGGTGGGGCGCCACACCCCTACCCATTTTGTCTTGTATTCAAATACAACCAAATACACAACATTCATAACAACACAGATTTGTAAACACTAATAATTGGATAAAATTATTACCATCATTAAAGACAAAATATCACTGAGCAAGAATATTAAAATGCATGTGCCTCAAATTAAAAGCAGCTTTAAAATTTAACAATAAGAGGTGAAAATATATACATATCTATGTAAGTCCCGCGTGAGAACATCACGTGATCACGTGTAGCAGTTCCAAGGATGTGCACAAGACATTACATGTGCTGCCGGAAAATACCTTCAAGGGTGTGATACGTGTAATGAACTTGGCTGTAATGTCAATATCTTCATAGACATCTTCATAGACATCTTCATAGTAGACATCTTCATAGTAGACATCTTCATAGTAGACATCTTCATAGTAGACATCTTCATAGTAAACATCTTCCTTACCATCTTCATTACCATCTTCATTACCATCGGGGGATTGAACTCCGACCTGCATTAAGCGAGACCGTTGCTCTACCGTCCAGACCAAATGGTTGGTGACAAGAGTGAACGATAAATGGTGGTAGTGAGGCACATTACAACTACCATCCTGTAACCCCTCGTCATCTGTGTGTGGGGTCAGGTTCACATTCGCTTCCTCTCGACCTTCAACAAAAGTCAATTTACTATTTGTTGTCTCAACAAAAATTACGATCATCATGTTTCATGGGCCAAAGAAACAAACATTATTTGCCGCTTTCTTATCCATCACGCCGACCAATTCCTCGTGGAAACCTAAGTAAATTTTTGCTGTTTATTCTAAACTCTGAAATTTCTCGATATAATCTTTCATTGCATTTCATTTTTCTCATAAGAAGTCATTGTGGAATTCGGATGTTCTTCCAGAGACTGATGTTTAGGGCGTGTCTCTAGCTCCCAAACCGGAGATTTTGGCTGCGGGTCAAGAACACAACAGAAGCGGAGCTTAAAAACCTATTTATCCCTCGAGCCAAAATCATTTAGTAGGTAGTGTTCCTTATTTTGTCAAATGGACTTAAAGTTAAGCCAACATTGTTGCCGCAAAATGTCAGTTTGAAAACTGCATTGTTAGATATTGGAGACTGACTGTCGGTAGCTATATAAGACTGGGCTGTACCGGGTCTGTATTACAGGAGTTCAGCGACGACAACAAGATAACTGACTTGTAACAACCGTCAAGGAGCAGAGCCACACTGGTTGAGCAGGACAACCGTGAGGACAGTATGACTATACACCAGTATGACTATACACCAGCATGACTATACACCAGCATGACTATACACCAGTATGACTATACACCAGTATGACTATACACCAGTATGACTATACACCAGCATGACTATACACCAGCATGACTATACACCAGCATGACTATACACCAGCATGACTATACACCAGCATGACTATACACCAGCATGACTATACACCAGCATGACTATACACCAGCATGACTATACACCAGCATGACTATACACCAGCATGACTATACACCAGCATGACTATACACCAGCATGACTATACACCAGCATGACTATACACCAGCATGACTATACACCAGCATGACTATACACCAGCATGACTATACACCAGCATGACTATACACCAGCATGACTATACACCAGCATGACTATACACCAGCATGACTATACACCAGCATGACTATACACCAGTATGACTATACACCAGCATGACTATACACCAGTATGACTATACACCAGCATGACTATACACCAGTATGACTATACACCAGCATGACTATACACCAGCATGACTATACACCAGCATGACTATACACCAGCATGACTATACACCAGCATGACTATACACCAGCATGACTATACACCAGTATGACTATACACCAGCATGACTATACACCAGCATGACTATACACCAGCATGACTATACACCAGTATGACTATACACCAGTATGACTATACACCAGTATGACTATACACCAGTATGACTATACACCAGCATGACTATACACCAGTATGACTATACACCAGCATGACTATACACCAGCATGACTATACACCAGTATGACTATACACCAGCATGACTATACACCAGCATGACTATACACCAGCATGACTATACACCAGTATGACTATACACCAGCATGACTATACACCAGTATGACTATACACCAGCATGACTATACACCAGTATGACTATACACCAGTATGACTATACACCAGTATGACTATACACCAGTATGACTATACACCAGTATGACTATACACCAGTATGACTATACACCAGCATGACTATACACCAGCATGACTATACACCAGCATGACTATACACCAGTATGACTATACACCAGCATGACTATACACCAGCATGACTATACACCAGCATGACTATACACCAGCATGACTATACACCAGCATGACTATACACCAGTATGACTATACACCAGCATGACTATACACCAGTATGACTACACACCAGCATGACTACACACCAGCATGACTATACACCAGCATGACTATACACCAGCATGACTATACACCAGCATGACTATACACCAGCATGACTATACACCAGCATGACTATACACCAGCATGACTATACACCAGCATGACTATACACCAGTATGACTATACACCAGTATGACTATACACCAGTATGACTATACACCAGTATGACTATACACCAGCATGACTACACACCAGCATGACTACACACCAGCATGACTATACACCAGTATGACTATACACCAGTATGAAGGGATACGAGGGAAGACTATGTGCTCGGACCATCGCCGATTATACCACAAAAAGATATACAATAAAAAAATCTGACTAGCGACATTTCGAATTAACAAAGAGCAGATTTAGAAGAATCTTTCCATATGTGTAGACCAGTGATGTGGCCTCTGTCACGTGCCCAAATATGTGGGGATCAAATATGGTATTAATCACGCTGTTTCCAAAGACAAATGAGCTTTCACCATTGCCATTGCATGGTGGTGCTCATCAGTATGCACTACCGGGAAGGGACAGCCAGCCAGCAATAAAATGGGAACTGTGAATATATATGTCAGTACTTCTGGGTGAGATACTTTTAGCCCATCGTAGATCAGTCGGTCGTGATTGTGGCTAAGGAGTTCAGTCGCGGGTTCAGTCCCCTTGTGCGGCTTCAATGGGACTGAACTCCTTAAAAGACTGAATGGCTTTGCCATTCCTCGGCAAAGTCAAAGAATACTGGCTTTTATGTCTGGATGTTCTGCTATCGAGTCTACTTATCGTCGTTTCACACTTTTCTTGTTTTATCGAACTCTAGTTTGGGGGAGTTTTGCCTCACTCGAGGACGTTCCACCATTAAGTGCGGCCAAGGTCACTAATCGATTGCTGCGTCATTTACAACTCTGGGTCTATCACTGTCTGTCAAGAAACCTGCCTCTCGCTCTCTGTACTAAGGAAGTGATCACTTGACAATGAAAACAATAATTAGGAGCCCATAGTGGTGACAAAGACGGATCCTAAGACACGATTAATTCTTTGCATACATAAATATTTCCAGAACTCGAGTGAACGAAAAATTAAATACTGTTAGGACCACGAGTCTTCGTGTTTCTCATAAAAAATGGTTTCATAGCGGCCCTCTTCATTAACATGCACTGAGCTGCAATTCGTCATTTCGCAACATGCAACTACTTCAATGGAGAGGAATTGGCAGGTAATTTTTTGTTGCGAGAATTTGGGACCACAGAAACCGTACAGCACTTTAATGTTTCTCTTCACTAATAACCCAGATGTTGCAAGGTCACCCTCTCGTGACCTCGCCCCGCCTCCACCACTTAAACACTCCCAAGACCTAAATCAAGTTAACGATAACCTATTTTAACCACCAGATAACCTCTTCTGCATCACATAACCATTTTGCTTCAAGGCAAATTGCAATAAGTTCTTATTACAATTAGCTGGCTGTGTTAGCACGCGTTGTGGGAGATGCAGGCGTGACCTGGGCAGGTGAAGGCAGCATGCGATGCTGACGTGGCCTGGGTAGGCGAAGGTTAGGTTCACAGACTTATGACGACATGAATGTGATCACAGTGACTCCCTGAATTATTAATTTAGTAGATGTATTGAGACAAGCGGTGTGTGTGAGCGAACAAGGGCCAGCAAAACGCTGCTATACCTGCCCATTCTTCCGAGCGTTCCAAACGTCACCAAACTGTTGTACTAAATTATCCAAACCTAACCTACCCAAGGACTCACGAACAGAAGATGGACATTACGTCAATATCGCGTGCCGCTATCATTTCAGTACATCAATTTTTGCCCTTAGGGAGTAAATGATTGATTGATAAAGATCAAGCCACCCATGAGGTGGGACGGGCATGAACATAAGAATATAAGAACCAAGATAACTACAGATGGCATATTGACCCATACGAGGCAGTTCCTATTTATATCCACCCACACTCCTTCATATATATGTCTAATCTAATGAATAGCCCGTAAGTGGTAGATTTTTTTGGACTGAATGTGATCTTTGGCCTTAGGGGAAAATTATACGATACGTCAAAATGTGATGTACTACTGAGGAGACCGGGTTGAGCACACATGTCAGACAGTCAGCAGCTGACGTGGAGAAGAGTGCAGACGAGACCATCACACGGAACACCAAAAGCCGACGATTACATCACAATCGATACCGAAGAACTATTTCACAGCTTGAAAACAGGAACAGTGAATTATATGTCATAAGCAATTTAACATTGAATCACCTTTTACAGGAGACAAATAGACACCAGTTATATCTGTTGACCAGACCACACACTAGAAGGTGAAGGGACGACGACGTTTCGACTTGAGAATGATCCAGGACGGACCGAAACGTCGTGGTCCCTTCACCTTCTAGTGTGTGGTCTGGTCAACATACTTCAGCCACGTTATTGTGCCTCATCGCCTGCACCAGCTATATCTGCGGTGTAAAGATTGCGTAATTCTGACTGTGTTGGGCGAGGCGAGATGAACGCACGGTATATGAATGTGTTGGTGCATACCTTCATTACGGGCTCACCATAGCCCGTGCTACTTGGACATTTCGTGCTAAGCAGCTAAATCTAAAACAGCAACAATAGGAGGTTACCTTGAGGTGCGCCAGGCCCTGGAGGTGGTGGAGCTGGTTGCCGTGCAGGTCCAGCACTTCCAACCTGCTCAGCTGCTCCAGACCGTCCAGTCGAGACAACCTGCGGATGGAAGCTGAGGTCAGCAGGGTGAGGGGTGCCTGGTGGGGCCAGCAGGGTGAAGCGTGCCTGGTGGGCCCAGCAGGGTGAGGGGTGCCTGGTGGGGCCAGCAGGGTGAAGGGTGCCTGGTGGGCCCAGCAGGGTGAAGGGTGCCTGGTGGGGCCAGCAGGGTGAAGGGTGCCTGGTGGGGCCAGCAGGGTGAGGGGTGCCTGGTGGGGCCAGCAGGGTGAGGGGTGCCTGGTGGGGCCAGCAGGGTGAAGGGTGTCAGGTGGGGTCAGCAGGGTGAGGGGTGCCTGGTGGGGTCTGCAGGGTGAAGGGTGCCTGGTGGGGTCAGCAGGGTGAAGGGTGCCTGGTGGGGTCAGCAGGGTGAAGGGTGCCTGGTGGGGTCAGCAGGGTGAAGGGTGCCTGGTGGGGTCAGCAGGGTGAAGGGTGCCTGGTGGGGTCAGCAGGGTGAAGGGTGCCTGGTGGGGTCAGCAGGGTGAAGGGTGCCTGGTGGGGTCAGCAGGGTGAAGGGTGCCTGGTGGGGTCAGCAGGGTGAAGGGTGCCTGGTGGGGTCAGCAGGGTGAAGGGTGCCTGGTGGGGTCAGCAGGGTGAAGGGTGCCTGGTGGGGTCAGCAGGGTGAAGGGTGCCTGGTGGGGTCAGCAGGGTGAAGGGTGCCTGGTGGGGTCAGCAGGGTGAAGGGTGCCTGGTGGGGTCAGCAGGGTGAGGGGTGCCTGGTGGGGTCAGCAGGGTGAGGGGTGCCTGGTGGGGTCAGCAGGGTGAGGGGTGCCTGGTGGGGTCAGCAGGGTGAGGGGTGCCTGGTGGGGTCAGCAGGGTGAGGGGTGCCTGGTGGGGTCAGCAGGGTGAGGGGTGCCTGGTGGGGTCAGCAGGGTGAGGGGTGGTGGGGCAGCTGAGGGGGTGGGGTCAGCAGGGTGAGGGGTGCCTGGTGGGGTCAGCAGGGTGAGGGGTGCCTGGTGGGGTCAGCAGGGTGAAGGGTGCCTGGTGGGGTCAGCAGGGTGAAGGGTGCCTGGTGGGGTCAGCAGGGTGAAGGGTGCCTGGTGGGGTCAGCAGGGTGAAGGGTGCCTGGTGGGGTCAGCAGGGTGAAGGGTGCCTGGTGGGGTCAGCAGGGTGAAGGGTGCCTGGTGGGGTCAGCAGGGTGAAGGGTGCCTGGTGGGGTCAGCAGGGTGAAGGGTGCCTGGTGGGGTCAGCAGGGTGAAGGGTGCCTGGTGGGGTCAGCAGGGTGAAGGGTGCCTGGTGGGGTCAGCAGGGTGAAGGGTGCCTGGTGGGGTCAGCAGGGTGAAGGGTGCCTGGTGGGGTCAGCAGGGTGAAGGGTGCCTGGTGGGGTCAGCAGGGTGAAGGGTGCCTGGTGGGGTCAGCAGGGTGAAGGGTGCCTGGTGGGGTCAGCAGGGTGAAGGGTGCCTGGTGGGGTCAGCAGGGTGAAGGGTGCCTGGTGGGGTCAGCAGGGTGAAGGGTGCCTGGTGGGGTCAGCAGGGTGAAGGGTGCCTGGTGGGGTCAGCAGGGTGAAGGGTGCCTGGTGGGGTCAGCAGGGTGAAGGGTGCCTGGTGGGGTCAGCAGGGTGAAGGGTGCCTGGTGGGGTCAGCAGGGTGAAGGGTGCCTGGTGGGGTCAGCAGGGTGAAGGGTGCCTGGTGGGGACATGCAGGGTGAAGGGTGCCTGGTGGGGACATGCAGGGTGAAGGGTGCCTGGTGGGGACATGCAGGGTGAAGGGTGCCTGGTGGGGACATGCAGGGTGAAGGGTGCCTGGTGGGGTCAGCAGGGTGAAGGGTGCCTGGTGGGGTCAGCAGGGTGAAGGGTGCCTGGTGGGGTCAGCAGGGTGAAGGGTGCCTGGTGGGGTCAGCAGGGTGAAGGGTGCCTGGTGGGGTCAGCAGGGTGAAGGGTGCCTGGTGGGGTCAGCAGGGTGAAGGGTGCCTGGTGGGGTCAGCAGGGTGAAGGGTGCCTGGTGGGGTCAGCAGGGTGAAGGGTGCCTGGTGGGGTCAGCAGGGTGAAGGGTGCCTGGTGGGGTCAGCAGGGTGAAGGGTGCCTGGTGGGGTCAGCAGGGTGAAGGGTGCCTGGTGGGGTCAGCAGGGTGAAGGGTGCCTGGTGGGGTCAGCAGGGTGAAGGGTGCCTGGTGGGGTCAGCAGGGTGAAGGGTGCCTGGTGGGGTCAGCAGGGTGAAGGGTGCCTGGTGGGGTCAGCAGGGTGAAGGGTGCCTGGTGGGGTCAGCATGGTGAAGGGTGCCTGGTGGGGTCAGCAGGGTGAAGGGTGCCTGGTGGGGTCAGCAGGGTGAAGGGTGCCTGGTGGGGTCAGCAGGGTGAAGGGTGCCTGGTGGGGTCAGCAGGGTGAAGGGTGCCTGGTGGGGTCAGCAGGGTGAAGGGTGCCTGGTGGGGTCAGCAGGGTGAAGGGTGCCTGGTGGGGTCAGCAGGGTGAAGGGTGCCTGGTGGGGTCAGCAGGGTGAAGGGTGCCTGGTGGGGTCAGCAGGGTGAAGGGTGCCTGGTGGGGTCAGCAGGGTGAGGGGTGCCTGGTGGGGTCAGCAGGGTGAAGGGTGCCTGGTGGGGTCAGCAGGGTGAAGGGTGCCTGGTGGGGTCAGCAGGGTGAAGGGTGCCTGGAGGGGTCAGCAGGGTGAAGGGTGCCTGGTGGGGTCAGCAGGGTGAAGGGTGCCTGGTGGGGTCAGCAGGGTGAAGGGTGCCTGGTGGGGTCAGCAGGGTGAAGGGTGCCTGGTGGGGTCAGCAGGGTGAAGGGTGTCCTTCCCTCGCCTGATCACAGCCTTGCTCTCCACCTCAAGGTCTGCCAACCCCCACACCCACTCACACTCACCTGCACCCAGTATGACTGTATATACAAGATTAAAGTGAGGCTAGTATGACCAAATAACATTTAGCATGGATATAAGGGCAACGAGAGCTGGTATATCAGGCTGGAATGAAGGGACTGTGCCCAACCCTTACGACCGATCACCTTAAGTAGATAGGTAGGAGAAATTTTTCTTTAATTAAAATACAACATATGAAAAAACCTAAACACACGAATGACATCAACTCACAACAATGCAAACACCCCAATACCTGCTGAGGCCTCGGAGAGAAGAACGTATTTGACTCTGGGTAAAACATTACAAACAACTGAGAATAACTGCACGAGTGAACGTGTTAGTAGCACACATGTGTGGACACGTACAACACTGCCTGAATCTAGCTCAGGTACCCGGCGTTGCTCGGGTGAGACACGGAGACCCTCGTGTAGTGTAGAGACCACGTCTACACTGACTATTTTAAAGGTCCAGACAAACGCACGCACGCGGGATGCTGTTGCAAGTGTACCGTCACGTGGAAGAGTGCAAGATAACATTGGGCGCGTCCTGGAAAAATGATAACATGTATGCAGATGATTCAGGAGGTATTGTGTGGATGATTGTGACTAATGTGTTCTCTGGGGAGGGAGCCTTAACTCGACAGTGACACACACACACACACTACTCATATACCTTGTTAGTAACGAGCTCAACACTCGCCCTTGTAGCATGTTCACCTTCTGTTGATATAGTTACACGTATCATTAATCACAGCGTGGGGCGACCGTTGTGTCTGGCATCTTAGTGTCTGGGTGACAGGGTGTCTTGTCGACTGGGTGACAGGTTGCCTGGGTGGCAGGGTGCCTGGCCGACAGGGTGGCAGGAACAAGGTTCACTACCTCCAGGGACGGTCAGTCCCATGTAAGACAGCTTATAAAGAAGCTTCACAAGTTGTCATTATAAATTATTAACTTATCCATTCTCTATAAACTCTTACAGTTCCACTTTAATCTTATAATATACAAGATTCATTAATAGATGCAATTTACTCAATAAATCTAATATATAACTCCATCTTAATAAAATGATAGTACTTATAGCAGCTATTTGGTCAACGTACAAAACATGGACTGTAATACACACAAAGTTTACGTTTTCTATTATTCGAAACGTAACACAGAATGTAACGCTACCTCCCCCTTTCCAGATCAGTCAATTAACCGATTACACTTATGCCAAGCAAATGTTTCCTCACATCCCTGTACCTCATCAGAGTCTCCAGTTTCCACACATGGCCTCTTCTGCTGTAGGCGACGAGTCACAATAACGTGGCTGAAATATGTTGACCAGACCACACACTAGAAAGTGAAGGGACGACGACGTTTCGGTCCGTCCTGGACCATTCTCAAGTCACCTCCTCTGTTACTAAACTGCTCAACATCTACTGCGTGTTTAACACCTCTGTGCTTGTCCCCAGACCAAACAACCACCGAGCACCCGTGTCCCCTCTCATTATAGAACCGTTGCCCCTAAACACAACATTACATTAAGTATACTAAACACTTCTGACCTTCAATTGGCTTACACAACCGGTTACTCTACAACGTTATGCAGTTTCTTTAAAACTTTAACCACCTCGCCTTCAAACCCATTTACATTTAAATAGCAATATATATAATTCTCCAGTGAAACCCGAGAGGTTGGTGTGTCTGACCTGGACCTCAATATTAGGGGATTACTGGCTCAGGCAGCGAGGATCAGGCCTTTACCGGATTATGCACCGAATATGCGTCTCTTATTCTAATTAATTTTAAGCGAAATATAATCGCAGTCTCAACAATCATTTCATATCATACGACTAACATTAAGAAATTTCAAGAACAACATTTTCTGAATCTTGATCGCACGGTTTTTTCAAGTTCGCTAATTTTACCCAATTTGTTAAATAATTTACTAACTGTAATTATTTATACATTGTCTTGGCATTATTCGGGTTTCACGTTGAAGGAGTCAAGCCGAACATTTCCTACGCTCGGTCTTCCGACGCTCGGTCTTCCGACGCTCGGTCTTCCGACGCTCGGTCTTCCGACGCTCGGTCTTCCGACGCTCGGTCTTCCGACGCTCGGTCTTCCGACGCTCGGTCTTCCGACGCTCGGTCTTCCGACGCCCGGTCTTCCGACGCCCGGTCTTCCGACGCCCGGTCTTCCGACGCCCGGTCTTCCGACGACGCCCGGTCTTC